GCTGGAACTGGGGCCTGTGTGGGTTCTTCGCATTCTACCATGCCCTGTATCCCCGAGCCTGGACTGTCTATCAGCTTCCTGGCCAGAATGTCACCCTCACCTGCCGCCAGATCACACCCATCTTGCCCCATGACTACCAGGTGAGATTCCACCTCTGTGTTTCCTCCATTGTCCTCCCTTCCCTGGGACCTGTCTCTGCTGGGAAGTCCATGACCTGTGAAAGAGGTTGGAGCATGAACATTATTCTGGGTTTCCAGGACCACTGCCCACCTGGTCTTCTGTCTCCTGGTAGATAGCCTGCCTGGGAATATAGGGGGATGCTAGTGGGAATCAGGAATATTTTGGGAGGCCCAGGCGATGTGGCTCAGTAAGTTCAGCATCGCCCATGCAGCAGGAGTCCACTTTTTTGATTCCCAGTCAGGGCATATGCTCAGGTTGCAGGCTTGATCCCTAGTAGGGAGCATGCAGGAGGCAGCCGATTGATGTTTCTCTCTTATCAATGGTTCTCTCTCTCTCCCTCTCCTCTCCTTTCTCTGAAATAAAAACACTTATTTTTAATTCTTTTATTGGGAGAATATAGTGGGGGTATTTGAGTCAGGTCCTTGGTACGAGGCTTGGTCATGGGGAGTGGGCCCAGGAGGAGCCACACTCGGACCATCTGAGTCTGATCTCTTGCTCCCAGGACAGCAGTCTGCCTGTAGGAGTCTTTGTGTGGGACGTGGAAAACGAAGGCGATGAAGCCCTGGATGTGTCCATCATGTTCTCCATGCGGAATGGCCTGGGAGGTGGGGACGATGCCTCAGGGGGTTTGTGGAATGAGCCCTTCTGTCTGGAGCGTAACGGGGAGACCATCCGGGGGCTGCTGCTGCATCATCCAACCCTTCCAAATCCCTACACGATGGCTGTGGCTGCACGACTCACGGTATGGAGCAGCCTGTCCTGTACTATACCTTAACCCAAACCCCTACTCCCAGCCAGCCCCAGAGCCCACCCCATCCCACCATGCTCTCTTCATTTCCTAAACGCCTGAGTCCCACTCACCACAGCCCATAAGCCTGTGGAACTTGTAGGAGGTGGGAATAAATAATAAGAGCTACAGCAGATTGGAAGCCAACGTTCTTTAGAGCTTCCCTTCACAGCTTTTGGCCCTTTAACAGGCAGACACGACGGTAACCCACATCACAGCTTTTGACCCTGACGGCACTGGGCAGCAGGTGTGGCAGGATCTACTTCAGGATGGACAGCTGGACTCCCCTGCTGGTGATGGGGGGTCTCACAGGGAGGTGGTGGGAAAGAGGCTGTCCCTGTCTTGAGAGCAAGTGGGAGGCCTAGTAATGAATTTGCCTTGCTCCCATCTTTGGGATCCTTGGGGATGAAGGCTTCTGTGCTTCTCTCAGGTCCAAGCACCCTCTCGCAGAAAGGAGAAGGCATCGCTGGGGCTGTGTGTGTTACGAGTAAGCTGCCACCTCGAGGCCGGTGCTGCCTGGAGTTCTCACTGGCCTGGGACATGCCCAGAATCACGTTTGGAGCTCAGGGCCAGGTCTACCACAGGTGAGGGGACAGACAGAGTATAGGGACCCAAGGTGGTAGGGTCTGACCTGGAGCCCATGTTCTCATCCCTCCCCTTTCTTCTCACCCCAGGCGATACACAAGGTTCTTTGGCTCAGATGGTGATGCGGCACCCGCCCTCAGTCACTACGCACTGTGCCAATACGCAGACTGGGAAGAGAGGATCTCAGCGTGGCAGAGCCCAGTATTGGATGACAGGTGTCAGTGGGGCCCCTCTCTCCCCTTTCTCCCAGGCACTCACACTCCAATTAGGACTCCTTCGTTCACTCCACCCACCAAGGCAGCAGAGTTGAGCTGGGCTTCACTTGGTGCCCCCACTCAATTGAACCCCCAAGTCCTTCCTCTCCTGGGAGGTCCACACTTACTAGACCACCCCCTCCTGACTCCGCAGGTCCTTGCCTGCCTGGTACAAATCTGCACTCTTCAATGAACTATACTTCCTGGCTGATGGAGGCACAGTGTGGCTGGAAGTTCCTGAGGACTCCCTTCCGGAGGAGCTGGGAGGGAGCATGTGTCGGCTCCGCCCCCTCCTCACGGAGTACGGCCGATTTGGCTACCTTGAAGGTACGGGCTGCTGGTGGCCACAGTCGGGCAGGCCATATCTGTGAGGCCGGTTAGTGCCCTACCACCAGGCGGGACGGTAAGTGTTGCCTGCCCAGGTCATTGGTTGGGATGAGGGGTAACTGGCAGGTATAGAGTGTGGCAGTGCCCCACCCCCAACTCCAGAGGGCAAGCTAAGTAGGGAGGGGAATATGAAGAGGAATTCTGGCAACAGTGTGTATCCCTCATTCCTCCAGGCCAGGAATATCGCATGTACAACACATATGATGTCCACTTCTACGCCTCCTTCGCCCTCATCATGCTATGGCCCAAACTTGAGCTCAGCCTGCAGTATGACATGGGTGAGGGTCTCTTTTGTGCCTCTTCTGCCCCCTTAGCTTCCCCCGACCCTTGAACCTTTGTGGTCCCTCACATCTTTTCCCCCCAAAATATACCTATACCCTGTTTACTGGTTTCCTTCTGGGGTCACACCCACAGCTCTACACCACCCCAAGACTGCCCATTCTCTCCCCCCACTTGTATGTTTGCTTCCCCAGCCCTGGCCACACTTGGGGAAGACCTAACATGTCGACGGTACCTGATGAGTGGGGTAATGGCGCCTGTGAAAAGGAGGAACGTCATCCCCCATGATATTGGGGACCCAGGTAAACGTCCTTCCACCTCAAGGTCAGCTTCCCTCAACTTCTGCACCCTCTCCCTACCACCAACACAAAGAGACCAGGCTCCCTTCCCTCCTGCAGACGACGAGCCATGGCTCCGGGTCAACGCCTATGTGATCCACGACACTGCCGACTGGAAGGACCTGAATCTGAAGTTTGTGCTGCAGGTTTATCGGGACTATTACCTGACGGGGGACCAGGGCTTCCTGAGGGACATGTGGCCTGTGTGTCTGGTAAGAGATGCATGTACAGTGGCCAGTCCAGGAGCATGACTGGTGTTTGGGGACAGAGAGCTGGCTGTTGTCTTTCCTTAGGATCTAGGTCTTCCCTATCTCGCTCCCTCTCTAGGCCGTGATGGAGTCTGAAATGAAGTTTGACAAGGACCAAGATGGACTCATTGAAAATGGAGGCTATGCAGACCAGACCTACGATGCTTGGGTCACCACAGGCCCCAGGTTGGGGGACAGGGATGCACAGGGGGCCTGAGATGGCAACTAAGCACCAAGGGATGTGGGCCCAAGGAAGGGTGACTCATTGCCTGTTATATGGCATGGGAATGGCAGGAGCTGCCAGTGTGACCCCCAAACCCATTATCCCCATCAGTGCGTACTGTGGAGGACTATGGCTGGCAGCTGTGGCTGTGATGGTCCGGATGGCTGCTCTGTGTGGGACACAGGACATTCAAGATAAGTTTTCTTCCATCCTTAGCCGGGGCCAGCAAGCCTATGAAAGGTTGCTATGGAATGGTGAGTTGGAGTATTCCTAAGGAGTCTTAAGGCAGCTATGGAAATACAAAGAGACTTACTTTTGCCCTTCCTCCACTCCAGGCCGCTATTACAACTATGATTGCAGCTCTCGGCCTCAATCCTGTAGCATCATGTCTGACCAGTGTGCTGGCCAGTGGTTCCTGAGGGCTAGTGGCCTAGGAGAAGGAGAAACTGAGGTGAGAGGGACTAGGAGGAGGAACCAGTTGGGTTTTTCTGGGAAGAAGCAAGTTTAAGAGACCGTGTTTCTGCCTTTGCCCCTCTAGGTATTTCCTACCCAACACGTGGTTCGTGCTCTCCAGACTATCTTTGAGCTCAATGTCCAGGCCTTTGCAGGAGGGACCATGGGGGCTGTGAATGGGATGCAGCCCCAGGGTGTCCCTGATAGATCCAGTGTCCAGTCTGATGAAGTCTGGGTGGGCGTGGTCTATGGGCTGGCAGCCACCATGATCCAGGAGGTAATGCACTGCCTTCTCAATCTCTCCACCATCTGTCTCATGGCCCAGCACTTCCTTAGCCCTCAATTATCTGTACTGCCTAACCCATGCCATCTATTCACCTAGAAAGCCTTCCTTTTTTCCCTGGCATGCATTACTGCTCTTGCCTTCAGTCACCTGTCTGTGGGTTAAATTTATCTCCCCCCCTCCAAAAAAAAAAAATTAAAAAAAAATTATCTCCCCCATTAGCTGGGAACTGCTTGAGGGCAGAGACCCCATTGCCTCCATCTGTCCAGTTCAAGAGACCATGCAGGGGGTGCCAACTAATGTGACTGCCATCTCTCCCTACAGGGCCTGACGTGGGAGGGCTTCCAGACAGCTGAAGGCTGCTACCGAACAGTGTGGGAGCGCCTGGGCCTGGGCTTCCAGACCCCAGAGGCATACTGCCAAAAGCGAGTGTTCCGCTCTCTGGCCTACATGCGGCCACTGAGCATCTGGGCCATGCAGCTGGCCCTGCAGCAGCAACATAAAAAGGCCTCCAGACCAACAGCTGAACAGGGCACAGGACTAAGCAAAGGGTCTAAACTCGGACCAAAGGAAGTCATGGCAAACCCAAGTCCAGAGTGAACCCCTGAACTATGGGAGGGAGGCACTAACATAAATCCCACCTGGCACTTGCTCTTCCCTATCACCCCAGTCTGCAACCCTGAGCCACTAGGACAATCATGCTTCCCTTCCCTTCTCCCCACCCAGCCACACCAGGAAAGGAGTTGAGGGTAACCCATGCATCAGAATCACTTATTTATTTCCTTATCCCATCCCCTCACTGCATGAAATGTTCAAGATCAGTTGATTCCCCCAGGTCCATTCATGGGGTGATAGACATACATGGGTACAAATAAAGGACCCGGAAAGATGGTAAGTGTGGTGTGTTTGAGCCCTAAGGCATCCTGACAGGGCACAGAAGCTAAAGCTAGCCGCCTCTTATTCCTTTTCATTCGGCCTCCCATCTAGCCTGAGTATCTGCCCTGCAAGATAACAGACACGGGGCTGTGGGCAGGGAGCCACCCCTCTTCTCTTGTGAGATTTGCATCCAGGAGAAGGATGGGACCCAGGCAGGCAAACTTTGAAAAGGGATCAGGGAGTGGCAATTTCAGAGGAGGCTCTGTGCCAGGAGCCTGAGGCATGTGGGAGGGCAGGCAGCAAGAGTTGCCAGGAGCCTGGAGCCCATAGTCTGAGCTATCCTTTGGTACCTCCGACTGCAGGGCCGACAGCTCCAGCTGATGAGGGAGGGCACGAAGCTGGCGGGATAATACTGAGAAGAAAAGACTCGTTAGAAGCAGGCCAGGCTTCTCCCATTAGTTCACCCATAAAACCATCCTCGAGCCCCTCACCTCCATGCTCAGCTGGCAGGCTCCCCCTGGTGCCAGAGGAGTACATAGCAGGTGCAAGGGCGAGACAGAAGAAGAACAGTAGGACCTGGAACACGAGAAAAGGAAATGATGAAGAGCTCCGGATTGCACCCGTCCCTGCACCGGGAAGAAGGAATTTCCTCCCATCACCATCCTTACCAGGACACAGGCGCTGCTGCTGTTTGAGATCTGAGTCACCACGGCCTGGAGTCTCCTCAGCTGGTCCAGGAGGGACCTAGAAGATGGGACAGTCAGCAGCCTGGCACCCTGAGATACAATGAAGCCTTTCTGTGAAGGCCACCCTCCACCTGTGCACTAGATCCTCTAAAAATTGAATAACATGTACATCTCCTGTATACATGAGAGAGCTAGAAACTAATTCTCTTTAAGTCTATTTTTGCAAATGACTTCCTCCTCTCTGGACAAAGTTCTTCATTAAAACAAATACACACCTCTGCCCTGCCCTGACTTAAACTGCTTTGCAAACAGTCAATGGTTCTACACTGCCTAATTAGCTACACACGTAACCCTCACCAGGCAGTCTAGGTTCTCTACGTTCTGGCTCAACTCACCTATGTTAGGGTTCCAGCCAAACTGAACTATGCTGTGTTCTCTCCCTAAAATGCTCCTTCCCATCTATACCCCCCACCCCAACTCCAAGAATCCTATCTATTATTAAATGTCATCTGCCCCATGAGGTCTTTTATCTTTTTTTAAAATATATTTTTAATGATTTCAGAGAGGGAGAGAAAAATATCCGTGATGGGAGAGAATCACTGATTGGCTGCCTCCTGCATGCCCCACACTGGGGATCAAACCCACAACCTGTGTATGTACCCTGAGCAGGGTTCGAACTGTGACCTGGTTCATTGGTCGACACTCAACCACTGAACCACTCCAGCAGGGTCCTCTTGTCTTTCTTGATACTTATCCTTTGTTATGTGTGATTTTATTCCCCATTACTGTGAGCTTCTTAGAATCAGAAACCAAATAAGGGCAAAGAATCAGACCTTGCATGTGGGAGCTGCCCGGTTGGAAATCGAGTGTGGAGCAGGGAAAAAGTGAGACAGCAGAAAAGGGAGTGATGTTAGGTGCTTACAGGTTCTGTTCCTCCAGGAGCTGTACTTTGTTCTGTAGCTCCAGGTTCTGGGCTGTGTATTTCAAGACCCTGAGGAAAAAACAAGGATGTGGGGATATGGCCTGTATCCTCTCTTCCAAAGGCCTCCCACTTCCAACTACTGTTCCCACAGCCCCAGAGTCCCGCTCCCGTTATACCTGCTCTCTAAACCTCCCACATACACCTTCTTCTTCCTGCGGCTCTCCTGAGCAGACTTCTTATTTCGGATCTTCCTCCGCACTCGTTTCAGGACTTGTTCCTCCATCTGAGTGAATACAAGGAAAGGGATCCCAGATCCAAGAGCTGGAAAGTTCAATCATCTTCCCAAAGCAGGAATCCCTTCTACAGCTTCCCTTACCAATAGGCACTTCAGTTCTGGCCCCCAAGGACCAGCTGTTTACACCCTCACAGGCCAGACCATTTTTTACAATTTTATTGATAAAAAATCTTCCTATCCTGAGCCAACACCTGCCTTCCATCCATTACACTTACCTAATACCTAATCTCTGGGGCCATACAGAAAAAATTAATGATCCTTAGCTATTTTAAGGCACTCAACATTTCCTCAGTTAATCTGGGCAAGAATTTAACTTATTTATCTCCTCAGAATAGACCACACCCTTTTAATATCTGGGCTCAAAAGTAGACACTAAGATGTGGTGTGGCCGGTATAATGAAGAACAAGATAGGAACCGCCCTTCTAAAGGCAATACCTCTGTTGATATAGCCTCCAAACCCCATTCAACTTCTTAGTAGCCATAATACTATTAATGCACTAACACTTTTGAAATCTCAAAGAGAACACGGAAATTGGTGTAAGCTCCACAAAACCAGGATCTGCCCCTGCATCTAGCATATTAACTACATCCCCCAGTTTCCTATTAACAGCAAATTTGCTAAGTTTCTCACTTCAGTCCTTTTTCAAGTTACTGATAAAATTAACAACTGGCCTACTTGGGACTCACAACCCCTCTCCAGCCTTTACTGAACCAATGGAAGTCCTACCTTAGTGAGAGGCAGTGTTTCGGGCAGTGTAAGCCCCTCCTGCTCCAATAGCCTCTTTTCCTCATCTGTCAGCATCAGCCCAACAATCTCCTGGGGTTAGGAAAGGTGGGCAGCAGAGTTGCAAGGGGATGTCAGAGAGGAATGAGGAATCCGGCCCCACCTCTGTAATGTGGGAATAATCCTCCTGTAAATCAAAGTACCTGCTCTGCTGGGTCCTCCACGTGCAGTGGCGTCATCTGGATCTCCTCTTTTCCACAGCTCCCACTAGCTGCAAAAGGGAAAGTGAATAGCCAGGCCCACGAATCCTCTCCTTCCCCCCCAAACCTTACTATTTCATGCTCACCTAGATCTATGGAAACATGTTCTTGTGAGAGAGAGTAGGTGTGGTCGTGGTGGACAAGGCAGGGATTAGAATCGCCAAAAGAGTCTGAGGGACTCGGCAGGGAGTTCAGGAAATCCTCTACGTCCCAATCGCTCAGTGTCTGTACAGGGTTCAAATGAACAGTTCCTGACCTATATCACCACCCTGCACCACGAACACCCCGGCCCGCGCCAACCGGACTCAGAGCCCCCACCCACCTCAGAAAGCGGCAACTCCCAGTCCAGTGGAGCCTCCGAGACCGCCTCGGGCGCCGCCCCCAAATCTCCGCTTTCCTCTAGCAGGAAGCCCAGCAGGTCCTGTTCACCCGGGTCCAACGCCAGCTCCATAGGGGAAATCTACAGGGGGGGGGGGGAGGACATAGCACAGGAGTTCCCCCCTCCACCTGGCCCCAACCCCGAACCCCAGGAACAATACCCACCGGCTGTCAGACGGCCCCACCTATCCGCTTCTCCCTCCTCAGCCGGCTTTCCGCCGCCTTCCAGTCCCGGTTTTCCACAGCTTCCAACACAGCGGAAGTGACGCGAGGGCCCCCGAGGCATTCTGGGACTTGAAGTCCCCGGGAACGCGGAAGTGGGCTACGTGCGGCGCCACGTCCCGGGAGCTATGCAAATCGAGAGGACGTCCCCGCCGCCGCCGCCGCCGCACACCCCGAGGGCGGGCCTTCTGGGCACCTGGCTCCGCCTTCGCCCCAGGCTAAGGAAACGGAGGATCAGAGGCTAAAGGGGAACTGGAGCGCAGCTGGAGCGCGTTTTTCCTCCCGGGCTGCGCCGCGCCCTTGCTTCCTGCTGGCAGAGGTGGCCGCTTGTCTGTGGGATCCCGAGCATCGAGAGCCGGAGCCAGAGCAGCTTCCTGCAGCTCCCGCAACCATAGAGCGCGGGCCCAGGGCGCCGCCCACGGGTGGGGGACGTTCCGGGGACGGAAGTGGCCTGAGAGCCGAAGGGAGGGCGAGGCCGGATCCTGAGAGTCCCCGGGAGAACGAGCCGGCTAGCGGGCCGGCGGGCGGGGCGTAAGCCAGGCAGCGCAGGTACGTCCGACCGGGCCGAGCGGGAGCTGTTGGGTGGGGCCGCGAGGCCGGGCCCGGGAGGCGGGCGGGCGGGGCCCCTGACTCTCCTGCGCCTCCTGTTTCGGGGCTGGGAGAGGTCAGCGTCCAGTCTATTTCGGTTTGGGCTCGGAGTTTAAAGTTAGACCCTTCTGCGGGAGCCAGGCCCTCCTGGGAGCGGTCCTCTGACTCATATAAGTTTGGGGGAGGATGGGGAGTGGGGTGACAGTGAGGTGCGGGGCGGTGAGCGGCGTTGAGGTTTGCTAATAGGCGAGTAGGTGGGTAGGAGAGCTTTGGGTGAACCTGGAATTAGGTGGCATTGCGTTTAGGAATCAAGGTGACTTCATGAGTGATAAAGCCCGAGATAAAAAATGTAAGAGTTACTAGTGTGTCAGGTCGGTTTGATGGACGTAAGGTTTGGATGTAAGGTCATTTTGTTTTCTAGGATGGCCAGCGTAAGTCAGCGTTCAGAGTCAACAACAGGAATTGGTTAGAAATTCCGTTTTGGGGGATTAGAGAAGCATAGTCAGTTTTAGGACTAAATAGTGGAGGGACGGGTCAGGAAAGGGATGAATGTCAAAGCCGGTTTGGGGAAACAGGAAACAAATGAGGGTCAAGGTTAACGTTAGGAATTAGGGTCAGTTCTAGGGGTTGTGGTTGAAGTCAGGGTAGATGATCCGAGGGAAGTAAAATTTAAGGAATTGACAGTTCCAAATCTGAGCTTTCCCATCATCTCATAGCACTCGCCCACCATTTGCACTCACTCATTCATCTGCATGCTTCTTAGTCATCTGCTGAATTCCCTACGCCCAGCCCAACAGAACTGGCAAGTAACCCTGGTCAACGCTATGTGCTGTCCCCTGATTCTAAGCCTCCTTAATTTCTTGGTCTAAGTTGTAGATCCCCTTCCCCCACTCCCCAAACAGAAAAGAGGAAATGAGACCCAAAGAGGAAACTGGGTCTTGCAGATCCCACGCCCAGCCAGGCCACTGACCACACCCCCAAGTCACTCCCAGCATGACCCTGTCACTGACCATAGCACTGTCCCTTCCTCAGCCTGACCCCATCCCATCCCCCCTCCCCAACTCCAGCTTTACTTAGACACCGCCCATGTCCCTTCCTTCACTCTTCCTCCCTCCCAGCCTAATTTAGCTGCTGACCACAGCCCCATCTCTTCTCAGCCTTCTGGAGCCCGACCTAGCCTCTGACCTCACTTCATTACTCCCTGATTTAGCCACTGTCCACACAGTTATTCTTCCCCTTCGCCCAGCCTGATCCGGTGACTGATTATCCTACTGCCATCTTCCCAGACTCCCTCTATGCCTTGTCTGTCCCATTTCCAGGCTGATATACTCACTAACCCCATCCCTGTTTTTCTCTTTTTTTAATTTTAAGAGAAGGTCTGCACATGCTTTTGATGTGTTTTTTTTTTTTATATTGCAGTCGGCATATATTAATTTCAGGTGTGCAACAGGGTGTTTAGGCATTTGTATACCTTACAAAGTGATCACACCAGTAAGTCAAGTACCCATCTGGCACAGTGCACTAACCTTCTGCTCCTACCTAGTACTAACCACATCCCCGTCCCTTTCCTCCATCCCCCCACCCCCCGCAGCCTAACCACATCCCCTAACCACAGCCTCATCTTCACATTCCCAACTCAGCCTGATCCTTTCTTTCCCCCTTCCCAGTTTCTCACCTAAACTCAAGCTGCCCAGCCAGCTTCTGAGTGGCTGTTAATGACAAGAAGCCAGGCCCTTTGGGTCCTTGGAAACCCAGCCTGACTTTGGGTTCTGGCCCCTGATGGCTGACAGAACATACTGTCATGTCAGATCCTGTCTGCTCTACCTCTTAAACTTTCTAATGAGTGACATCCTTCTCTCCCCTATTCTGTCTCTGGCTTCATTACCTCTCCCTTGTGCAAATGCAGTGTCTCCTTTCTCATCTCCAAGGTAACTGCCCAGAGGTATTTTTCTAAAGTCCAGTTCTGATATTTCCCTTCTCTCCTCACAGCCTCCCTTAGCCGCCTGCCACCTCCAGTAGGTCACGTCCCTCATACTTCTCTCTAGTCCTGCCTGGCCTTTTCATCTAACCCTGACTTCCCCGTCACTGCTCCCTTGCAGGTACCCTGTGCTTCAGCCAGCCTGTCTACTCACTTCCCCGAATGCTCCTACGTGATTTCCTGCTTCTTCACCTTTGCTTATGCTATTCTCTCTGCCTGGAATGCTGCTGCCCCTGACTCATCGGCGGCGGCTGGGATAGTGGAGAGCTTGGGCTTTGGAGTCAGAGAGACCTGGGTTCCGATCCTGGCTTCACAACTTAGGTGTGTGACTTTGGACAAGTACCTTGAACAAGCGTTGCACGTCTTCGAACCTCAGTTTTATAATCTGTAAGAATGGAAATAATGACACCTACCTTGCAGGGTTGTTGTAAGGATTGAATGAAATGTCTACAAAGCAATGGACATATAGTAAATAAAAAAATAGATCACTGATATTTTTATATTATTTTTTTTTTTTAATCCTAACTTCTAAGGACATTTCTCATGGATACTCTTTGGTCCTCCTTCCTTAACCTACAGGCATCCTCCCCTGAGCACACACCTCTCGGCTTTTACCACATCCTGCCCTCTAATAACAATTCTGTGCTTAACGTATCCACTAATCTGACTGGGAGCCCCAGGAGAGCAAAACCTGGGAGGGCTTACTCTTGGCTCCCAGGGTCTTCCCTGCAGCGGGACCTCAGAAATGCTGGGTGAATGGAGGGAGAATATCTACGCAGGGGGACAAGAGATGTGGGTGACAGTTGTGCTTGCCGATAGAGGTGTACTTGTGGGGAAGCTGTGTGTGGGGGTGAGGTCTTTATGGGAAGATAATGTGGTTGTGATGGGATCTGTGGAGGGGCTGTGTGTCCGAGATAATGTGTATCTAGAGACGGTGTAAGTCGCTTGGTGGGAAAGAGCTCTGCGCACAGCCTCTTTGGGGGTGTATCTGGGGAGAAGGAATGCGCATGGGTCAGGGTAAAGGTGAGGAGAGGCTGTGTTGGGAGAGGTCAGGTCCAGACCTTTAGCTGCCCGGTCCAGCCCTAAATGAGCCTCCGGCAACTGGAGGCCGGATATGTCAGTCTCACCCACAACCCTCACCGCTCCCCCCTCCTCGCGGTTGCGGACTCAGAAGCCAAATTTGGTAACAGACTGAGTGTTACTCCCCCAGCCCTCTTCCATTCTGACTCTGTCTTCAGCTTTCTCTCTCCCCTTTGTCCCTCACTGTAACTCCCTCCCTACCTTTCTGCATGTCTGTTTGTGGGTATCTGCTCCGACTCTGTTCTTCATGTGCCCCACATTCCTCATCCCGAGTATACTTACATTCCATTCCTTGCTGGGATTTGACCTCCTGTCCTCCATCCCCCCCCCCCCCCCTCCCCGCCACTCCAATTGCCCAACTCCTCTGGAATGTATCTCAGGAATGTCTTGAGGGAGGAGGAGTTCCCTGGGAGGGGGACATGAGGAGGAGGGGGTGTTGTTGTTGCTCTTCCTCCGTAAAACATGGAAAGGGTAAGAAAGTTTTGGGGCCAGAGCAGGAGCAAGGTATACTCCCAGGAGCCTTGTTCTGTGCCCTCCTCACCCTCAGTTCACCCCTCCGTGCCCTTTCCGCCCCACCCTCTCGTAACTATGTGGATGTCCACGCAGGACCGGCCTGAGAGTAGGGGTAGGCATGACTCAACTCCCTTATCGGGGTCTCACCAGAGGTTTCCGTACTTGAGGAAGAAGGGGGTGCCCGTATGTCCGGAGGAAATGGGGGAGGGGGGCTGTGTTGCAATTTCAGTCTTGGGTGGAGGGTCCTTTCAGTCTTGCCCTCTGCTCCTCTGACTCCTCCACCAGCTTCGCTCCGATCCTCCAGAGACCCCACATCCAGGTCTGTCCACCTACTGGGAGACGTGTCCGAGGAATGGGGAGGTGGGCAGAGAGCGGGAACTGGGGAGACTGGGAGGGTGCTCTCTTGGTTGGGAGTAAAGAGAGAGCGAGCCGTGGCTTCCTCTCTTTTGAGACTCCGGGCTGTTGAGGACGTCAAAATGGTCCATTAGACCCTAATCCAGGCCCTTCCTTGTCTCCTGTTTCTACCTAAACTTTTCAGTCCCCTATATCCCATCCTTTCTACCTTCTTCACCCAAAAAAATATACCCCTTCCCAACTTCCCTGGTACTCAGCTGTCTTCTGTATCCCAACACCTTATTCTGCTTCCAACTTTGCCCCTAATCCTGTTATCTCTCCCACTTGGGGCTAGCAGT